GAAGTCCTATCGGGTCGGACAGAACTGTGTGCAAATCTGATATGCGTGGTATGTCATTATGTGAGGAGGATTCTGTGCAAGGCTCTGAAAAACATGTGGGTGGCGATAAAGTTGATCGTTGTATTTTGTCGTTCTTGATTTTGCTGCTGACTTTCATATCGTACATGAAAGCGATGGAGCGTTGATCAGTAACCAATTTGAAGTGGGCACCCAGCAGTTAGTGCCGCCACTTACGAATGGCTTCAATTATTGCGTAGGCTTCTTTTTCTAGAGCAGAATGATTTCGCTCCAAGGGTGACGGTGCGTAAAAAAAGCCACGGGGTGACCACCTTGATTGATCACTTAATTGCGAATCGCTTATGGGTTCGCTCCTTCGCAAGGGAATGCCATAGAAGTACGTAAGCATACTGAGTTCACTCTACTCGCATACTTCTGGTAGCGTAAAGGTTTACAGCGAGCTGAGTAGGTCGTTTGTAACTAGCAGCGGTGTTCGTCAAGAGTGCCCTCTTTCGCCATTCCTGTTCAGTTTCGTCATAGACGAAATACTAGAGAACATCAAGTAATCTCCAAAGCGTAGGTATTGATTGGCCAGCTGGTGAAAAGCTGTGCGATTTGGAGTACGCCGACGACATTGTCTGCTTGTTCGAATCTATGGAGGATGCACAAAGAGCACTCGACAGATCTGCAAGCTCTAACTCCGTTCGGCATGTGCTTTGCACCTTCAAAGTGCAAAATGATGCTACAAGACTGGGTGTTGCCGAGTTCTGCTCTGAAACTAGACGATCAGTAATTATCTATAGTTGACTGCTTCTCGTACTTGGGTAGCTGCGTGACCAACGACGTTGGCGCATCAAAGGAGATAACTGCCTGCATTTCCAAGACTCGAGCAGCGTACACAGGACTGAAACACCTGTGGCAACGACGTGGTGTTTCATTGTAGTCGAAAAGTCGCGTATACTGTGCCACGGGACGGTCAGTTCTGCTTTACAGTTGTGAGACCTTGAATTTGCGGGTAGACATCCGTCACCTAGTGGTTTTCGACAGTTGATGCTTACGTAGTCTGGTCCAAGTGGGATGGAGTGAGTGGGTTAGTAACCTAGAAGTAAGTCGTTGGGTGTTTGGGAATGCATCGAACAGAAACTCGCTATCGCATCGAATTCAGTTCAATAGGACACGTTTTGCGTATGTCCGATGGTCGCCTACCGAAGCGCGCTTTGTTCACAGTGGGTGGCTAGCTGGCTGGAGGCCAGCAGATTACGTAAAGACGAGGTATGAAGAAATGCACAAAGCGATTAGGTAGAGTAAGTGTATCTCGTCTTCCGGGATGGGGTTCAAAAGACTCCGAAACCGCATAGTTGGAGACACTGAAGGTCATGGCTGCGAACCGACAGCAATGGCAATCATGCTGTCACTTCTTATCAGACCAGAATGCTTGAAATAGTATTTATGCACAGTTGAACTGTGTACTCTGTGTTGACCATAAAGGTTCGCTCTCCGCGCCTAATCCCTATCCTCATACATTCTCACTTTCCTTGTATGCATTATGAGCTGGCAGCGATGAGTGAAGTTCGCTTCACTGTATTACGCTGTACAATGACGATGATGTACCTTCAGAACCATCGGGAAAACGACTGTTTGTTTCCACGCAGAGTTCGAGTTTTGTCCTGTTCTCAGTGACCATCAATCCTTTATCGCACGTGTGAAGACGAACGGCCCAACCTCATGCAACTGGGGTTGCTTTGCTCAGTCGATGATTGATTGGTTATTCTCGTGGCTTGTGATCTCATCTTGTTTCATACGTTTCAAAAGCGGCACGGAAGGTAACACCGTTTACAGTTTAGGATTCGGGAATGAGAAGTTTTGCAAATGGATATCTAGGACGGTTACAATCGCCCACCGGGGCAAAGAATCAAAGACCATAGATTGCATTGGTTGGAGCGTGTTACCGTTGTCATCAGATAGGTTGTCACGATGACCGATGTTTGCCAAGGCAGACAGTGGGGGATAGAGGCATATGTAACACCGCCTTGAGAACAAGCATGGTGCCAACCTCTGGATCATTGTAGTCAATGGTTAGCGACACTGAAAGGCATGGCTGTGTCGTAAAACAGTGAAACTGGTGCGTCTGTATTTCATTGCAAGCATCTTTCGGACTTTCCCATTTTCTCTTCCTCCAAAAGTCGCAGTATGGTCGGGGGTGGGTGTCGGTAGTTGCGGCTGGTCACCATCCCTCGCACCTCGCGAAATGCTC